AAGAAAAGAAAAGAAAAGAAAAGAAAAGAAAGAAAAAGAAAAAGGAAGGAAGGAAACAATTTTTCTCCTTTTCCATAACTGGATTTGGGCAGTTGAGAAGCGGCTATTTTTATTAAGCTGACCTTCACGCAGCTGAGGAAATTTACCCTTTAGGCCTATAACCTTTTCCTTCTCTTGCAGGATTTCATGTCTGTGCTGCTGGGTGGATGGCCAAGGGCAGAGTTGGATATCCCATTGTGAAACCCGGGCCCAACTGTGGATTTGGAAAAACTGGCATTATCGATTATGGAGTCCGTCTTAATAGGAGTGAAAGATGGGATGCCTATTGCTACAACCCACATGGTTTGTTAAAAATAATAATTTTATACTTCACAAAAACAGTTGACACGTTAACAACAACAGAGATGTTAAAAAATAATGGCTCCTTCTCCCAGAGATAAATCAACCTAGCGATGATAATTATTAATAATAACAACCATTCAGGGGCATCTGGGTGGCTCAGTCGGCTATGCGATTGACTTCGGCTCAGGTCATGATCCACATTGGGTTGTCTGCTGTCAATGCAGAGTCTGCTTTGGATCCTCTGTCTCCCCTCTCTCTGCTCCTCCCCCACTTGCACCCTCTCTTTCTCAAAAATAAACATTTAAAAAAATAATAATAACAACAATTCACAGAATGATTATGCCATGCCAGATACTGACTCATGCTCCTTCCTCATCTACACTGTCACATAATGCAACAATTCTGCAAGAAGCTACTGTTATACCCATTTTAGAAATTAGGAAATTCAAAGTCTAATAACTTACGCCAATTCAGATATCTAATAATTAACAGGTAGCTTGTATCACGGATTCAGGCCTTTTCTATGCTACATCTTTTTCTATTCCCAATCACAAAGCGGTGGGCTGGGGCGGGGGGGTGGTTTGGGGAACGGGAGAGAAGCAGGTTATAAACTTGTCACGGTTAATTAGCTAACACAACAAAGCGATGCTACAAATGTTAACTGTTCAAAATTACCTCTTTGATAGAATGGGGAAAAAGGAGACAAACTCTTTCCCTAATTTCTTTTTTTTTTAATTTTTTTTAAATCCTTATCAATTTTTGAGAGAGAAAGAGAGAGAGAGAGAGAGAGAAAGAGACAGCACAATCAGGGAAGGGGCAGAGAGAGGGAGACACAGAATCTGAAGCAGGCTCCAGGCTCCGAGCTGTCAGCACAGAGCCTGACGTGGGGCTCAAACTCACAAACTGTGAGATCATGACCAGAGCTGAAGTCTGATGCGTAACTGACTGAGCCACCCAGGCACCCCTTCCCCTAATTTCTTTTTGTGCATAAATTCTTAAACTACCAAACTAAGCAACTCTTATTCTGTGATTTGTTTTCACAATTATATACTGGATATATTAGTTATTATTATACAGTATATTTTTATTCATATTTTTTCCCATGGTTAACTGTAGCTAGGAAATTTTTAAAGAGAAAATTAATTCAACATAATTACTCTAAAGAGCTATTCTTTATTCATGTTCTTGGAGAAAAAATAGATTGTTCTTTTTGGATATATTTTCCCCAGGACGATACTACGAAGAATTATAATGTGTTACCATCTGTCTCACATTTAGGGTCACAAACACCCTCAGGTGTTGCCTTATTTGGATCTACCTTATAAGAAAGTCCCTATAGTAAAGTTACAATAAGTTATAGTGAAGTTCTAGCATATTATTATAGAATCTATTATATAATGATATTAACCATTGGAAAATAGTTTCTCATGTTTGTAACTAATCTTTATCTTAAAATAATGTGTATTCTAAGTAGAAAAGAATTTTGCCTAGAGCCATCATCTATTTCCACTCAAGACCAAATATGAATAAACACTTACAGTGCATTTATGTAGGACTATAATTTTCAAATCACTTTGACATACTTTAATCTATTTTATATTTAGTTCTATATTCAGACATTATTAATAGTTCATATATCTTCTTTTCCTTCCCTTTTCCTCTCTTCCTTTTTCTTCAGTATATTCATACAAGCAACTTTCTGTTTACTCTTAAGAGTAACTTTTATTTCCAAGTATATTCCGATTCTTTCTTTGCTTGATAAACTTTGGGATCTCTGAACATCTATTCAATCATTTCCACGCGTCAAGATCTAGGGGAGATAAAGAAGTGCCAATTGGAAGTTTCCTACAGTATTTCCTTGCCCTTTTATACAAACGCCACCTTAACTTACAAATTTTTATAAATTGCTTTTGTTTCTCATAGAGGCTGAATCCTTTTTACTCTGGGAATATTTGTACAGAATCCTGAGACACTTGTTCTTACTCAATTCTCAGCTTACTTTTGGACTCGGTGACAGGCTGAGTTTTTAGGATGTGGTGAGCCTGAAGGGGACTGGGGACCGCCTGAACTAGCACTGAGGGAAGAACAGTTCGCTGAAAAATAATTGGAAGGAAAAAATCATAACCATATCATAAAAATAAAGCAATGATTATCAATTAATCAATAAAATATAGAGCTGATAGATAGGGCTAAATAGACAAATTGTTCAATATTTGAATTCTTTCCTAATCTAATGGTAGGGACAATAAAGATAGGATGGTAGGGGACAGGGCAAGTCACTCCAAAAGCTGGCACTGTACATGCTTATGTACACATATGAGCTATGTATTATATAATATTTAATATTACAATAAGAACAGCTTACATTTTATGTAACACTCTTAAGTTATCTTCTGTGTTACTATCCTAAGAATAATCCTGTGAAGTAGGTAATAGGAGAGACATGATTATATTTACCTTAGCAATGAAGAAACTGAAGTATCCAGTGGTCACAGAGCTCAGACTGGATCCCTGACCTTCTTTCTTTTGTCATTCCCCTGTCTTTCTAAGATTCTGTTGGGTCCTTGGGGAGATAAGCTTCCTTACCTTCTATGGTATTCAGGATTCTAACCCATTTTTTTTTTTAATAGTTGTTTTAAAGGATAACATTCTTGGAAAAAGTCTCTAACTGATATAATGAAAGATATCTTCGAACGCTCCTCACAGTCACCACCACCACCACCACTCGTGTAATTTTTGAGTTTCCAGACTGTACTTTTTTTCAGGACACAAGACACTTATTTGATCTGAAATTAAAATTAACCAGGGCCTTTCCATACCTTTCCCTCAAGGTCACACTATAAAATCACTGGCAGAGGTTGCTGGTCTGTTTGTTCTCATCCAGGTTATAAGGATGACAGTAATCCAGAAAATGATAAATTACTTGAAAAAAAACAAACATTAATATCTCCATCAAATCCTCAAATATTAGGATCAAGGTGTTAGTTTAAAGCCAGTAAAAGGAGTATAGAATGATTGTAAATTATTCTTTTTAACTGAATTACAGTGACCTCCAAGGTCCCTTGTGATCCTGAAATTCTATAATGATTTTCCAAACAGAATTTATTGGACTCATTATTCTAAATGTTCAAGAGTCTTGAAGACACAGTGTTGACACCACGGGACAAAATCCCAGCCATCTTGATTGGGCTGTTGGTAAAATTGGCATATGTATTCATCAAAATATATACACATGAGACCTGCACATTCTAAGCTGAAAAGATAAAAAGGAAAAAAAGTAAACAAGAGCACAATTAAATTGCTGTTTTTTCTTGCTGTTTTACTTTTTTTAAAAAATTCAGTCTAAATTCATTTGAGAAAATTTAGCAATGAATAATGAAAAAATTCATTTATTCTCTAACTACAAGTATACGTATTTAATATTTCATTAAAAGCAATAAATAGGCACTAAGAAGTGCATATCCGTTTAAAATAGGGATAATATTTTTTCTAATGCTTTCTTTCTTTCTTTTCTTTTTTTTTTTTATCCACTTCAGCAAAAGAGTGTGGTGGTGTCTTTACAGATCCAAAGCGAATTTTTAAATCTCCCGGCTTCCCAAATGAGTATGATGATAACCAGATCTGCTACTGGCACATTAGACTCAACTATGGTCAGCGTATTCACCTGAGCTTTTTGGACTTTGACCTTGAAGATGACCCAGCTTGCTTGGCTGACTATGTTGAAATATATGACAGTTACGATGATGTCCATGGCTTTGTGGGAAGGTATGTGTTTCCCCATATAAAAAGTTAAAAATACATCCAATATTTTGTTTGATGGTTCTTTAATTTTCTTTACCTGTCCCCACAGTTATTGATTTTCCAGTATTTTTTCTCCCCTGCAACACCATATCCTTTAAAAATTGTGCTTTATTTTTTTTAAGTTTATATATTTGAGAGAGAGACAGTCAGAGAAAGAGAGGGAACACACACGTGGGCTTGCAAGAGTGGTGGGAGGGGCAGAGACAGAGAGTGAGAGTGAGCGAGAGAATCCCAAGCAGGTTCCGCAGAACCAGATGAGGGGCTCAACTCATGAGCTGTGAGACCATGACCCGAGCAGAAATCCAGAGTCAGACACTCAACTAACTGAGCCACCCAGGCACCTCAACACCATATCTTTTTTTAGCAAAGATTTTTCTTAGCACGTTAAGCCAGTCAGCTGCTACATGTTCATATTTTTGAAATAGTGATAGCTGCCTTTTGAGTACTGTTAAGTAATCAGCAGTAAGAATTAAACAGTCTATCTAAAAAGACCTCAAGATTTAATTAACAACAGAAGGAGGAAGACACATGTGAACTGAGAAAGTTTCAAGTATTCTAATTTCTATCAACCTCCTAAAAATAATGATAAATTCAGTAATTATTTTCTTTCTTCTGTGTACAAAGCATTGTGTTAAGCATTATGAATGTAAGAATAGGCAAAGTACAGCCCCTAATCTCGTACAATTTACTTAGAAGTACAATGGAAATATGCTTTAAAATAGCTTTCTTTGCCATAAGAAACACGTGCTCCTTTCCTCAGTATTTCTCCCGTGATTTTTCAAGGGAGACAATATTTGCTGGGACACAATATTTCTGTGTTCCCATCCTAAATCATCAATATAGTTTAAACTTTGAATGTCTCACAAAATATTACAAATCAAAAAGTATATAATTATATCTTTTATTTATATAGCCCCCACTTCATAATGCATATCTTGGACTATCCATTATCAATAGACTATCAGTGATCAATTTTCTATTATCCATGACAGTAATTTAATGAAAGAAAATGGTAGTGAGGACAATTAAAAATGACAGACTCAGTAGTTTGCTGTGACGTGAAATGTAACTGAAATACAAAGAAAAACCAAGCATTTCTTGCATAAATGAACAACAATTTTTGGAGGGAAATTGTTTTTGTTTTGTTTTGTTTTGCTCTTTGGCTGACAGACCACTGTGATAGAAAAAATACAAATAGTTTTTAAAAAATAGGTTGAAGAAGATATGAAGCAGGGTTGGGGAAATTAAGAGCTAAGTATTTATTGAAAGAATGGACATCCTACCTTGAGAATCAAGATGATATTTTTATTCTAAACCTAGTTTCAGAAATCAATTACAGCCCTAGATACAATCACATACTATTTTTTAAAAGGTTTTCAATTGGGGTGCCTGGGTGGCTCAGTCGGTTAAGCGGCCGACTTCAGCTCAGGTCGTGATCTTGCGGTCAGTGAGTTAGAGCCCTGCGTTGGGCTCTGTGCTGACAGCTCAGAGCCTGGAGCCTGTTTCAGATTCTGTGTCTCCCTCTCTCTGACCCTCCCCCATTCATGCTCTGTCTCTCCCTGTCTCAAAAATAAATAAAACGTTAAAAAAAATTTTTTTTTAATATAAAAAAAAATAAAAGGTTTTCAATAGACT